AACCACCATGGAAACCAAAAAGGAACAGTAGGGTCACAGCGTGTGAGAAAATCAGCAGGTACATGGTTGAGCGTCCTCAACCACTTCCCTTCCAGTGACCCAGCTTCGTTGGACCAGGTTAGTCACTGGAAGCCTGATCCCCTGCTTGATTGAAGTCTTAGAAATAGAGGGTGACGCACACACAGGGATACACAGGGTGCAAAAACATTTGGCAGTGAACGCGGTCAGTGTGTTAACTTGCTGAGGTTGCTGCTGTTCTGGATCAAACTGCTGAGATTCGGAAGCTCGATGCTACCCGGACAGACACCGATGCACCATGGGTGAAGGTCAGATTTCACAGTTGGGAGGCGCTACTTGTAGGCTGCTAGATTTGCCAAGAGTCAGGATGATAGACCCCGAACATCTTGCAGCTGAGGCTTGCTCCGCTTGCTCCGCTTGCTCAGGCAGGGTAGATCTTGGCGAGCCACCGTGCAAAGTTATCATTAATTTGGGTTTGTACAGATGTGTTTTGGCTACTCTTTGTCAATCTTTAGAGGCAAATGCACACAGAAGCCATGGAACCTGGTCGCTGCTTGCATGAGTGGTACAGATTCCCGACATCACATTCAAAGTCATTTTGGGGCTTGAGTGCCTCTGCGAAGCTCTTGCAAGCCTGTGTGCAAGGTGGCAACTGCACAGGTGGCTATTCGACGCTTTGACATTTAATTACTGACAGGCTTCGCCAACCGGCGAAGCCCTTGGGGGGACTGTGCATATCCGCAGGGTCTTTGCGCAGCAAAATCAACGATTAGCGCGCGGAGAATATGGGAAAGCTTCGCTTCATATACAGACGGCTAAGTCCAGCTGGTGGTCCTTTAAGACATCTTAGCTCTATTTCAAACAGTTTTCAAACAGTTTCAATCCCTTTTGCAGGGCCCGCTTTCCAAAGCAGAAAATCCATCAGAAGGCTTCATTTCCATCAGACGCCTTTATTAAACGTGAAAGGTGTATCAAGGGGTGTTGGTTCAGTAACAGTCAACAGTCAAAAGGTGTTGGTTCTGGCCACAGCGAAGTATTTTCCATGTTGGGTGTGGGTCTGTAGTCAATCCACCGCCTCGGCTCCTTGGCTTGGTGGTTGTGGTGTTGGGTTCGATAAGGGTTTGAGTGGGTCTAAATCAGGTCTGAGCGCTGCAGGGCGCTTTTGCCTTGCAGCTGGGATGCTCTCAAGAGCGTTGAGGGCTTGGGAATGTGGAAGAATTATTTTTCACCCTTTTCTTGGAGGTTCAACCTTTTTGTGTACCTTTCCCGCTCTTACAGGGCAGAATCTCAAAAAAATGCTAAAAAGTGTAACTTCCACCTCTGCTTCGAAACTCCTAAGGCTGGTTGTTTGTGTTTTGGAAAACGGCCCCGCAACAGGGTTTGAAAGTGTTTGAAAACGGGTTTGAAACAGAGCTCAAGCCCCTCAGAGGATCACCAGCCGTTTTCCAGGTCGATAATACGCACCTAAAGCTCTCAAGCCGTCCCATATCTCACACCACCAACAAAACGGGATTTTTGAACATTTTCTAGCCTGGGCAAAAAATGTTCACGGGTGTAGTTTTGTTTGTCAGCTTTTTTCACTACAAAGTCCCAATGTTTGAAGAAGCCATGTAAGCCCAGGGGTGGTGCTAGAAATGTCGGCCGCGCGCCGACATTTCTAACATCGCCAGGACGCATGTATTCACTTGACAAAATCCATTTTCAATGTTTTTTTTTCTAGGGGCTTGGAAGCTACATGAAGATACTTTTTCATCAGTGGCAATTTTTGATTATGTTCACTGTGTTTTTGGCGTTTTTTGATGAATCCACATGAGCCCTGGTGATGCTAGAAAAGAGGTCAGCTGCCACTTCGAGCTGCGAGGTGCCAGACGGCAGCTTCGAAGCCCAGTAAAAGTAACTAACCATAGAATATCGCCCCGAAAGCTGCCGCTGCGAGGGTGCCAGACAGCAGCTTCGACGCTCTGTAAAGTAAAGCTTTCCAAGGCCATGGCCAAAAGGTTTTGCCACGCTTTTGATCAATCTAATCCCCCACAGAAAGTCACCTCGAAAGCTGCCGCCGCGAGGGCGCCAGACATCTTCAAAGCACCAAAAAAGAAGCTTTCCAAGGCCACGGCCACAAGGTGTCGCCACGCGATTGACCAATCTGACTCCACTGCTGCGAGGATGCCAGACGGCAGCTTCGAAAGGCAATATACAAAAAGTTTCCAAAAGGTCTCGCCGCGCTATCATAGGCCCATAGGCCAATCTAACTCCACACAGAAGATCGTCCAGCAGAGGGTGCCAGACGGCAGCTTTGAAACCCAGTAAAACAAGGTTAGACTCATGGCCAGAGTCGCTTGTGCGTCGGGTTTTGGGGTCGCTTGTGCATCGGGCTGTAGGACTTAACCTAGCCATTCAGGATGTCACTTTGAGCCTCAACTCTGTCATCTCTACACAAAGTATCTCTAGCTTGGCTACACATGAGCAGCGTTTTAACTTACCCTTTTCATTTCGAGTAAGGTACCGGTTAAACATCAATACAAACTGCAAGGTTCAACGCTCCTATTTTCGAGCTTAAAAGCGGCTGTCGAGTGTACACTTCTCGTTTTGTGCGTTTCATCCTTTTGGACGTGCACTCCTCCCTGGTCGGCAGGTTTTTTCGTCTGCCAACCAGTATTCCACAAAAGCGAGCTCTAGGCTCAAGCCGCCTCAGGATCCGCAGACTTTGCACTGTCGGATCTCAGTCATCGGTCCCGTGACCGCATTGCACCGAGCATCGGTGTGGAAGTTGCCGAGCTGGTCCTCATAGACGAAGTTCGTCTCTCGAAGACTTCTCTGGCCTCTGGTGGCCCTTTGACAGGCTCCACACACCGGCTGTTCATGAACTCGGTTGGCCTTGCTCAATCCCCTGCAGCTCCGCTGTCTATGGAAGCACTTGCTGGACTCCGCGAACCAGATCTTCCACGTTGGCTCATTGGGGAATCGCCTCCTCCTCCCAGTCAGGGTGATCTGCAGATGATGCCCTCCAGGTAGGTCAGCTTGATTCGGCGGCTCCTCTTGTGGCTCATTCAGCGCGGGATCCGGTCTCCCTTGATGTCCATCTTCAATGCCTCCACTCATCCTGGTACCCCTTGGTGATGAGGATGAAGCACTCTGCCCTCCATGGTTCATTTGCGGCCATTCTCCTTCACGTTGACGTGGTTCTCGATCTCCTCCTCCTTGAGGTCTGGTAGAAGTCCTTGTCCCGGAAGAAGATTGACCAGCCAAGCGAGAGACCCTCACTCTACGCGTCGCCGGATCGTCCTCCACCCGGTTCCAATGCAAGCGGCATTTTTGAATGACCTTCATGAGCACCATTCCCAGCAACATCATCATGACGCTGAGGAGGTACAAGATCTGGTCACCCTCCACATTCTCATCAACGTTCTTGGTGACATTCTCCGCCATAGCTCCATGCACTTCTTTGAGGGCCGACAGCACCACGACAAGCCTCATGGCCTTTTCCAAGTGGTACTTCGCGACCAATTTCATGGCACGAGGTGCGACAATGCCCTTGTCCTCCTCATGCACCTCGTCAACTGAGTCAGGCTGCCATGACATCCCCATCCGCTGTCTCAGCTCATTAATCCGAGCCACTGGCAACGCCTTTGCGCCGATGTCCGCGATGAGCTCTCTTCCAGGCTGGTACTTCAGCTCCCATTGACCAGACTGGATCCTCCATTTGAGGTGGGCGGCCCGTACCTTCAAGTGTCTTGTACGCCACGCTCCAGTTGCACAACTTGCTATTGAGACTGCAGCAGTGTTGTCGCACTTGAGGAACTTCGGGACGTCCTTCGCCATCTCATCAACCAGACATGCGATGCTGTCCCCCACAACCACAGCTTCGATGACTTCTATGAGTTCGGCTTCCGCAGTTGAGAGGGCGGGGAACGGCTGCTTGCAGCTCTTCCATGCCACCGGTGCCCCGGCCACCGTCGTGATCACACAGCCATGGCTATGAGCACCTCCTGGAGCGAAGGAGGCATCACTCACTGACTCCAGGATGAAGTTGGCGTCTCTTCGGTACCACAAGCCCAGGCCCTGCGTGGCATTCAAGTGCCTGATCAGCTGGTATGCGGTTTGGATCGCCCATTTTGGAGCCCGGCTCGTCGCTGAGCAGATTCGGCTGACCGTGTAGGCAATGTCCGGCCTCGTCTTCGTTGCCAGCCACAAAAGTTCTCCTCCGAGTTGTTGTGCCTCTCGGACCTGCAAGGGCGTGCGATCCAGCTCATCCTCGGGTTCCTGGGATTCCTTCATCATCTGAGCGCTGCAAAGGTCCTCCATGCCATGTCGCCGAACCACTTCCCTCAAGTAGGAACATTGATTGGCAAAGAAGTCTCCTTGTTCAGTTCGGCTCAACTCCATTCCACAGTACCGAACTGGTTCACGATCTCCCACCCATGTAGGTTCGGACGTCTCCCAGGTCCTTCGAAAGCTCTGGAGCCCTTCCTCCACAATCTCTCTGGTGCCGAAGAGCATCACATCATCCACATACACCAAGGCGAGTCCCTCAACCTGATCTCCATCTCTGGCATCCTTCCTGCGCACCAGCCACAAGTTCTCCTCCGCGAAACTCTGCTGGTACTCATAGGTGATGGAGTTCACCTGAAAGGACATCTGGCTGATCTCGATGTCCCTGTAGTCCCCCCAAAGCTTTGGAGACTCACGTAGGCCATACAGAGCCTTTTCCACCAGCCACATTTCCCCTTCCTTGACCAATCCCAGTCGAACGAGGATCTTTGGTGGGAGCATGAGCACCAGGCGTTTCCTTTTCGTGAGGTCCTCCTCCTGCTGCTCTTCCGTGGTTACCCCTTCTTGACCTTCGTGACCTCCTCCATCTTCTTCTTGATCCTCTTGAAGTCGTCCATGAGCATCTTCCAAGGCGAGGTTCTTTTTTCGGCTGCTCTCCTGAAGTGTTCGTAGAGGTGCGTTCAAGAAGGCAGTCTTGATGTCCAGGCTAGCCGCCTGCCAGCCTCGCGAAGCGGCCAGTGCCAATGAGGTCCTCAAGCATGTAGTGTCCGCCCCACCTGCATAGAGCTGAGCTGCCTCCGAACGGTCTCCAGGACCTCTTCCAGCTCCCTTCAGGTAGTTCCCGCACACCACCAGGCGGCATTTCCTTCGTCCGTCAGGGGCCTTCACCGCATGGATGGCCTTCCCTGGAACCACCTCCACCTTGTCTCCATGCTCTCTCTGGTAGTAGGCCACTTCTGCGGGAGTCAATCTCCGGATCGCTTTCTTGCCCTCCAAGGACTGAATCTCTTTCATAATGGCTTCCAGCCAAAGGTTCCGGTCTTTGTATACCTCATCGTTTGGTACAATCCGTGTTTGGAGAATCTCGTCTTCCAAGAGTCGTTGGGTTGATGCCACCTGTTCTTGTCGTAGAGCAACCAGACCTCGGCTCAACGGAGGAACTTCTCTTGGAGCAGCTCCCAACAAGTGACCCTCCTCTTCATAGACTGCCTGAAAGAGCATTCGTCGATCCTCCTCCCTCTGTAGGTCTTCTTCTCCCCGTATGCATGCCAGTGGTGTCTTCTCTCTCAACCTCCAGCGAAGCCGTACAGGGTCGTCTTGGACATGGACCTCCTCCATGACCAAGTCTCGTTCATCAGGCTTAGGCTCTTTGACATCCTTTATCAAGTAGCTCACTACCTT